AATGAATTTTGCCGAGTCCCAGTCAATGCTGTGCTTTGTAATTTCGGTGATGTTCGGCAATGTGATTAGTTTTGTCTTGTTTCTTTGTAGCTCGTTTGTGTTCAGTAAGTCTTATGTTTAAGTTCCTGCCAGTTTCCCCAATGTAGGAGGCGAGGCAGTCGGAGCAGTTTATTTTGTAAACTGCACCTTGTCGTTCGTTGGGTTGTTCTTTGTCCTTTATGTTCGTTAGTACTTGTCGTAACGTTGTGATTGGGTTATGTGCGACACGCATGTTGTATGGTCGTAAGATACGCGAGATAGTCTCAGACGTACCTTTGATGTAGGGTTTCGTTGCTGTTGTCACTGAGTTGTTCGTTTCGTTGGGCTCGTTGGGTTTGTAAGTGTTGCGTTTGATAAAGTCAGAGTTATAGTTCTTTTTGTCAAAAACACGTTTGAGATAGTTGTTTTCGTTGTGTAGAGCGTCCGGTGAATGACATATGATTTCTGCACGTCTTGTTAATGTTCTGATTGTGATGGCTTTTTGTGATGTAGGGTTGTAAGATGATTGGTCTAGTAGTCGGTCAGTATGTGTTGCTTGCGATAAACTGTTGTTCGTAGTTTTTGATTGTCATGTTTTACCAAACAATCGAGAAAAGGAAGAGTTCCGTTTTCTTCGACATCTTTAGCAAATTTTATATGGCTGTTCTGTTTGTTGATGTGAGTGTGAAAGTCATCAATCTCGTCTGCATGTAGTGCTGTGATTGTGTCATCTACGTAGCGAAACCAAAAATGTAGTGCATGTTAGTAAGTCGTGAGCGCCCGTTCCTCTATAGATTGCATTACAATTTCAGCAACTACAACAGAAACGTGGGAGCCCATTGCTGTTCCATTTAATTGTTTGTAGTGTGTACCTTTGTACTGGAAGTAAGTCGAGATGAGGCAGAGCTCCAGTAGCTCCATAATGTTTTCTGTCGGTAATGGCAGTACGTCTGTGGTGTTTGTGATGAGGGTTTTTGTACAAGTAAGTTCCAGATTAAGTGGAATACTGGTGAACAGTGATTTCACATCAAAAGACACTAGTATATAGTTGTCCGGTATTTGTATAGTGCTCAGTTTTTTAATGAAATTTCAGTGGATTGTAGCTTGTGTTTTGATTTGTTTGTAAGTGGTTGCAGTATGTCAGTCAAGTACTTTTAGAGTTCGTAAGTAGGCGAACCACAGAATGATACAATTGGTCGCATAGGTATTTGCGGTTTGTGAAATTTTGGTAGTCTGTATAGTCTGGGTGGTCTTGGTACTGAACATCTAAGTCGATAGTAAATACGTTCAGATATAATGTAACATTTTCTCATAGAGAAGATCTTGCTGTTAAGTTTGCGTACTAGTGATGGTGTTGGGTCTCGTTTGAGTTGTTCGTACGTTTGTCTGTCGTTAACAAGGATGTTCATTTTGTTAAAGTAATCATTCCTGTCCATGACTACAGTCACGCGTCCTTTGTCTGCTGGTAAAATGACGATGTTGTTATCGTGTTTTAGTCGTTTGGGTGCTTGTTGCTCGTCTTTTGTCAAGTTGTTCTCTCGTATAGAGGACGATTGTAAAGTGGAGGCTATCATGCTTCTGATATCGTCTTTGGTTGTCTCTGACAAGTCTCTTTGATACGCTAGGACAGCCTCGACACTTGATACTATCGTCTCAGTAGGGATTCGTCTAGGTGTTATGGAATATTTTAGTCCGTAAGATAGTAGTCGCGTTTCAGTTTCGTCTAATGAGCGGGAAAAAATATTCCTCACCCAGTTATCGTAATGTTTATGTCTTGTATGTGTTTTAGTTTGTTTCAAACGTTCAAGTTTTTGTTGTTGTTTGATTTGTATGCAGTCGTTAGCAAGTTGTTCGCTCTGTATATCTGTATATCTGTATACATTATATCTGAATGTATTTACTATCGACTTAGATGTTCAGTACAACGACCACCCAGACTATACGGACTACCAAAACTTCACAAACCACAAATACCCATGCGACCAATTGTATCATTCTGTGGTTCGCCTACTTACGAACTCTCAAAGTACTTGACTGACATACTGCAACCACTTACAAACAAATCAAAACACAAACAACAATCCACTGAAACTTTCATTGAAAAACTGAGCACTATACAAACACCGGACAACTATATACTAGTGTCTTTTGATGTGAAATCACTGTTCACCAGTATTCCACTTAATCTGGAACTTACTTGTACAAAAACCCTCATCACAAACACCACGGACGTACTGCCATTACCGACAGAAAACATTATGGAGCTACTGGAGCTCTACCGCACCTCGACTTACTTCCAGTAGAAAAGTACACACAACTAACAATTACATGGAACAGCAATGGGCTCACCCGTTTCTGTTGTAGTTGCTGAAATTGTAATGCAATCTATAGAGGAAAGGGTGCTCACGACTTACAAACATGCACTACCTTTTTTGGTTCCGCAGCGTAGATGACACAATCACAGCACTACATGCAGACGAGATAGATGACTTTCACACTCAAATCAATATATAATTTACCAAAGATGTCGAAGAAAACGGAACTCTTCCTTTTCTCGACTGTTTGGTAAAACATGACAATCAAAAACTACGAACAACAGTTTATCGCAAGCCAACACATACTGACCGACTACTCGACCAATCATCTTACAACCCCACATCACACAAAGCCACCACAATCAGAACATTAACAAGACGTGCAGAAATCATATGTGATTCACCGGACGCTCTACCCAACGAAAATAAATATCTCAAACGTGTTTTTGATAAAAACAACTATAACTCTGACTTTATCAAACGCAACACTTACAAACCCAACGAGCCCAACGAAACGAACAACTCAGTGACAACAGCAACGATACCTTACATCAAAGGTACGTCTGAGACTATATCGCGTATCTTACGACCATACAACATACGTGTCGAACATAAAGCAATCACAACGTTACGACAAGTACTAACGAACATAAAGGACAAAGAACAACCCAACGAACGACAAGGTGCAGTTTACAAAATAAACTGCTCCGACTGCCTCGCCTCCTACATTGGGGAAACTGGCAGGAACTTAAACATAAGACTTACTGAACACAAACGAGCTACAAAGAAACAAGACAAAACTAATCACATTGCCGAACATCACCGAAATTACAAAGCACAGCATTGACTGGGACTCGGCAAAATTCATTACTTACAGTACTGACTATAGACAACGGCTTACATTAGAAAGTTGGTATACCAACTTGGAACAAGCCCCCCTGAACAGATCACAGCAATTACCGGCACCTTACAAACGACTTATTCACAATACAAACAAACGATCAACTAAAAACATAACACTTCACACTAATTCACAATGACAATACACAATTGACACCCACACATTACATTTAAAAACATCACATCTAAATCACACATCACAACTAAAAATAAAATATTTCACTTCACACTAATTCACAATAACAATACACATTTCCTGTACACACAATACAATGACGTAAGAACCAGATAACAAATACGGCTAACCTGATGTTTACTCCTCATTTGACTCTGAAGAGTACTACCGCTAAGGTTGTCGAAACGTCAGTCAACAACAACAAAAACAGTTCTTCTCAGGACTATACCAACCTGGACGATCTACATTTACAAACATTACATACATTGACGCATGCCAAACCGTAATGTGAAGTCTTTCTATTTGTTCTTGGGAATAAAGACCTCCACATTGCAGCAATTGCGCTGTATTTAACGCTGAAGTTTTTGTGAAAATTTGTGTCGATTGGTCAATGCACATTTTGCCTTTTGTACTTCTGGGCTTTCGAGATTGCCGTAAATCACTCGTTTTATCACCGTATTAATACCTATCACATTGGGCTAGTACGTTAACTTAACACACTTTAGACCACTGCCATTGTATATTTGTATTGGTTGATGCGATTTCATGTAAAATGTTTCGTTTGGTTTTTGTGTAATTAAAATATTTGTTTTGAATTTTATGGTTGAAAAAAATTTATAAGCGCTGTCCTAAGGATCGACAAAATTGTACAGACACCGCGGCGTTGAAACAAGCATTTACGATAATACACACAAGATAGTAAGGCTCTTGAAAATATGGTTTGAAACACAGTATAGGGAATATACATCAGGTCTACTCACTTCGGGACTGACTATTTAATTAGGTTACTGGCTTCCTTTAGCCATCTCGTCCTTCCTATTGCTGGAAAAAAAAGCAATAAACTGGAAGCCACTATGGTGGCTATAGTGGCTTTCTATTGTATATTTCATATTTTCACTCGAAAAGGCCAAATGATCCAAATCACCAAATGCTGTTTTTGGAGCCTGTATTCCCTATGACATGCGGTGATTTAGGACGTTGTTATGGTTACCGTAGGATTGTAACTTCCACTGGTTACTTTGAGCAGTCAAACAACCTATCCATTCCTTATTGTTGTCTATTGATTTATCATAAAGATTTATTATAAATGAGCAATAAGTACGATATAACAATAGACACGCGTGGTCACTACCCAAATAGATTTTACCATAGTTACATTTTATAAGAGATTTTTACAATGAAAGATCAAAATTCTTTTGAGGTAAAGAGGCCAAAAAGTAGCCAAATGGAAAGAAAGTAATGGCCAAAAATTGAGTTATTTGGCTTCGAAAAAGGCTAAACTAACAACCTTGATTACCAAAAACTGCCCCGAAACATACAAAAACAAGAAGACGCAATGCAGGCAATCGAAGAATTCTTGTAAATAGATCGAAATTAAACGTAGAATGACGTAAAACAGAGTTCCCATTGTTAAATTTCATATTGCATTATATAAAACCACATTACGTTATATATATAATATTAATAGTTTTAATATTTATAAAAATAAAGCCATACTAGAAATTTGAGGAATGCTTTTCTAGTGAATTATCTCGATTGAATCTATCGAGAAATTTGTGTTTTTACGTATTGTGTAGCCATTAAAAAACGAATAAACCATACAAATTATATATTTGGATTGTAAGAATCTTCTCTACATGCTGACAGTTAAAAATATTACTAGATCACTTGGCCAGAGTTCGAAAAAGTTTTCAGACTTAAAATAAAATATTCTTAATTTCGTTTAAAAATCATCGGGAAAGCTATCCAGACCTAGAAAACAATAAGTGCTTTCAGCGCCTTCTAGTGAACAAAAAGCGCGAAAAGGTGTTGGCCAGATTAACCCTGTGCAAGTGTATGATGTTCTTGCTGTGATGTCTTCGTGGACATGAGAGCTAACTCTTTACTAAAAAGACAAAAATTGATCAACTAATTCAATCGTGATAACAGTTCAAAAATAGCAGGGAAATAGTTAATGACTTTTGTAAAATCAGGCAGGGACGGCGGAACATATTTTTTAATGACGGGAGAAAACAGACTTAAAGCAGCCAGGCGCCAATCCCCCCTTTCTAATCGCGCATTTCTTAGAATATTAGACTGCGAACGGTCTGCATAAAACCTTAATTTAAAACAGTCACATTTTACTATAATAAATATAAAAAACATAAATTCCAAAATACCCTAATATAAGAAAGTGATTAGGGATAATTTGTGGTGGCAAAAACCATGCTTTGACCACTGTGATGTAAGTTTGTGAAGCGTTTAACCCCACCGCCTTCCCGTTTACGTCGTTCCAGAAATTAGGCAATTGATAGCCAATTAGACGAAGGGAGCTTCAAAACAAAGCTTGTTCCTCTGTGGAACAGTTTTTTTGCTAACCGTATTTCTTCGCAGCCTCGCCCCCCCCCTTCTTTCTAATGTTATTCCAGTTGAAAGATATCAAGAAAAATCACAGGGGATGACGAAAATACGACATAAATGTTAAATGGCCGATGATCATTGACAACTCAGCCTTCATGATGAAAACTGCTAATTTTTGAAAGCGAACGCTACATTTTCAACATACCGCAGTAACGGCGGAAGAAGATTGTAGTCTAGACGATTCTTTAATAACGCGAGCTGGCACAGTGTTTTCAGAGAAGGATCTACATCAATTTTATAGTGAAAACAAATATATTAAATACCGTTAACTCCAAATATTTTTAAAAAAATCATTGAAATGGGTAACGGCAATTGGAGCTGATTCAACCCTCATGACAGATTGTCCCCATAGAAAAGTCCATAAAAGAAAGACAAAATTTTGACATAACACACTTTCACCTCTCCCCCAAATCCCCCCATATTATGCACTTACTGAAATCAAGAACAAACAAATCGTTATGGTCTTGCAAATGCCGTTCTCCTTCATATTCATCAAAATGCACAGGGCTGTAAAAAGATATCAAGGCATTTCTTCTAATCTCCTTTGGTACAATGCAATAGGTATCCGTTTTTTTCAGTAATACTCATAACTAATCCTAATGACAAATTGTATTACAAACTAGCGAGTTTTGCTTCTATTACACATATTACCCCTAATGTATACCTTGATCCACCATATATAATAACCTTATCCTGTAAGATACAACAAGTATGTCGACGTCGTGGACACGGATGTTCACCGGAAACGACGAAGGAATTCCATTCTTTTGTATCTAGCAATCATTAGGAAATCAGTCTAACCAATGCTATGGCGCAAATTCTGTTCTAGACGACGTGGGCAAAGCTGCATCGTAAATTTCCGACATTTTTTTGATAAAGCCAAAACTTTTTTTGCATGCATGCTACGTTTGAAAAGTCTCTGGCAAACCTCGAAATTCGTTCAATTTTCAAAAAAATTCTAGGAGCTGTTTCATTTATCTCTTTCAAAGATCTATAAAATGAAAATTGGGATCGACTAGGCTTGCATATATTGCAAATTTTAAAAATATGGCTTTAGGTTTATGTGAAATTGTTCACGCTTCAGCGTTATTCTTTAAAATTTCAATACAGTTGTTTTCCCATTTCCTATAATTTCAAATAATCCGCCGCATGGAGATTTACGCCACAGTGACGTAGTCAAAAGGGAGCACGGGTGGCTTTCCTAACCCTGGGTAAATTTTTGCCCCTCCCCCCAATGCTATGTTTTACAATTAAGTATGAAACCCCTATTACGCCAACACTAGCCCGTTCCTCCGAGGAAGCTCGCTCAAAACTGGTTTGACTGTGTTATAATGCATGTTTAACACCCCGTTCACACAATACCCGTGGAGTTTGAAAACGATGCAAAACTCTTACAGTTTGGGGTAATGTTTACACGACGCCGGTATGAAAAAGTATTAAAACGTAACACCAACCGTAATAGTTTGAAAACGGTATGACTATCCGTGACAGTTTGAAAACAGTAAAAATATAATGTTTCGGTTACGTGTGTCTACCCATAGGCAACCCAGTAATCTGTTTAGGTTGTTTATGCAATCGATTTATGTAGTAAATATATTCCTTAATTAATATGCAATGTTTGTCAATGTTGATTAACAACCGTTAGCACTAACACCTCACATAACCGTGAATATCTCATAAATGGAAAAACACAAAAAAAAACAAATACGTCTCATTAATCACGAATAATATTACTGTATTTTTGCAGTTTTTCAACAATAAAATGTATTTCTAGGCGTATGTAAGATGTGAATGTTTTTAGGGCTTGTGGCAAATATTTTTAAAACCTATGCTCAAACGCAATACAGATTGGCTAAAATTGTTTTCTCATACATTCAGATTGGCTCCAATTTTTTTTTATCGTTTTCATAAAAAATTCAGCCAATTTGCATTGCGTTTGAGCATAGGTTTTGAAAAATATTTGTCACAAACCCTAAAAACATTCGCGTTTTTTCTATGTCTAGAAATACATTTTTATGTTAAAAAAACGGCGTTTTTCCATTTACTTATAAGATATTCCCGGTTATATGAGGTGTTTGTGCTAACGGTTGTTCATTTAGTGTTGAGAGTTTCCTACCTTGTCAAAATATAAGACCTTTAAGACCATACAAACGTGTAACTCGCGCGAGATAGCGCACGTGACAAACATTGCATATAAATCAAGGAATATATTTATATAAATCGACTGCATAAAAAACCTAAACAGATTTCTGGGTCGCCTATGGTATACCGGTTAAGTTTAGTGCCGATATTGTGTGACCGTAGTCTACATGACAGTCATAGCCCCTTTTCTTTTTGACTGGCCCTGCTTGAAAAAAATCCTGGCTACGCTACTGAATTGATGCATTATGAAACTTTAAAACACGAAAGTTTGAAAGCTTAATTACCTGTATTAAATTTTATTATATCATTAAAATGCTTCCTTAAAGATCCATTATAGCCACCAAACATATAAATACAATTTCCACGTGCAACTAAAGATATACAAAAAGAAATGCACAAAACAAATATAAAATAAAACGCCTTTTAGTGAAGGTGATACGTAACGCCATAGAGATTATAAATAAGACTAGAGGTGGCATCGTAATATAATCTATAGTTCAAAATATGGTACGAAGTTTTTTTTTTGGGGGGGGGGGTAAAATCGATTCCCGGATATTAAGTTACAGTGGAAGACTACGATTTTTTGACTTTTTTGTACATATTATGAGTAAATACTATAGTGAATACTGTCACAATCTAATTGCTGGACAATACTTGTCTTTTTATCGTAATTTTAGATGGTTTAAGCCTCTCGTATTTTGCAAAACTTGTTTGTGCTGCTTTTATACTCCTTCAGTGAATCCTTGCTTGATAAAAAGACCTTTTTCGTCTTTAATTCAACTGCCAACATACTTCAAAAAGCATACATTTGTCATCCATATTTGTTTTATTTATAATCTCTATGCGTAAAACAGCATTGCGAAAATAACCTGCTGAATGACTGCGTCGACCCAAAGGGATGCTTCCGCTTGTTTTGATGTGTTGCCAAGTGTATTTGTCTGACGTTGAAAAAAAAGTATTTCATTCGCGAAGGACTTTTGTGAGTCATGAACATTCGTGAAAAATAATCAATGTTTAAACCTGTGTCAAAAGCTACTATTTTATTATCATAAACGTCTTGATTGGAATGTATTTCACCCATCATGTCACCTAAATTAGTAATAGACAACAAATATTCGAAATAAATTATTAAGATCAAGAGCGTAAATATGCTTTGAAAAGTGGAATGGGGGTTATCTCATGATACAGTGGTAGTTTTCTTGATGTTGTCCACAGTGAAATCATTGATTTTGTGAAAGGAGGGGATAAGCCAACCCACGCACTCAAGATTGCACCCTTGGATAAGATATGCATACACTAAAGCAAATGACTCCATTACTAAAGCCAACCTGAATTCCTAGAGATGCCATGACAGTTTGTAAAGTAAGGGTCCAATCTGTTTTTAATTTAGTCCCCTCTTGTTAAGCTAGTATTCCACAATTGTTCTCTACACATGGAAAGGCTATAAAGCCTTAGAATCGCTCGTTTCAGGAAACTAAAGTTAGGGTTGAAGATGAGCAAACTTGCTATGGTCAGTCTTATTTTGGGGATAAACCTGGATAAAAATATGGATGGGGGAAAACCATGCATTCAATGAACTGGTCAATTGTCATAATATTTCACAAAGCAACATTACCTCTTCCACCAAATATGTACATATATTTTCCCATAGCTGTTGCTGTGTGAAAGTCTCGCCAGCTCGGTGCTTCACCCTTAGTAAACAATGACACTCTATTACATTCAATGGGTGGAAGATTGATAATTTTTGAGGGGCGGGGGTGGGTGGGTTGAGGCTAATATTCATAAATGCACAATCTACTTCATTTTTTTCTATTGAAATCAATAATAACGAAATATAAAGTATGAAATTAAGAATATGCCCCCCCAATTTATAAAGCTTCAATTGCCCCCACCCACGTTATAAAAGTTGGCATGCTACACGCATACATATACTTGCGGATGTGTCCAGGTCAGTTTTTCTGTGTTGAAAATGTAAATATCTTTTGAATAGCGTTGCAACTATAATTGAAAAAACAACATCAACGTTTGCATACAATATTTCAGTTGAAACAATCTTATCTCCATTAATACTCACCCAATCAGTGTAACCACCAAATATATAAATGTTGCAAGCAATGACACAAGCTGAATGGCCATCATGAGGAGGTGGAATGGTACCATAGACATTTGGTATGGACCATTTGAATGTATCTAAAACATACAAGCAAATAAATGTTCATTATACATCAACATTGATGTTCAATTGGTATAGCATGCAAGAAACATTAGAGCTGGGATATTTTCAAGCACTTTACCCTGCTACCATTTTTTAAGAAAAGATTGGGTTGTTTGGTGAGAAGGACACTAAAATATTTTGCAGTACAAGTTTCTAATGTATTATTTTCCATTGTTCAATAATGATGTTTAATAGTTTCATGCAGTTTGACTAACAAATATATAAAAGAAACCATGCGTATAGTTCTCTTTAAGCCACAAGTGTGAATTTGACTTGTTTGAAATAAAATATTTCAGTATGTATGTGCGTATGTTATCTAATATTTTAACTGTGGCCTACAATTACCTCCAGGAGTACTAAATAGTGCAAATATATCATGATCGAGTCGCAAAATATAAAATTGCTAGGAAAACTCCTAAAGCAAGTTTGCATTATTTTTGCACATAGGATTTTGAAGAAATGATAACAATTTGCTTGATAATATCCAATGAAATGTGAATGAAATTAATGATTAATTCAATCAAGCTTTGAGCGGCAACAAGAATATGTTTCTACAATATAACCGCTCTGTCATAACAGTAAGCATATTTGTCAAACTTGGGATGGTTTGATTTAACTAACATAGTTTCTCCTGGTGACATGTAGTCAATTTTTAGCATCGTATAATTCTTGAGTATGTGCATTAAAAAGTTTCTTCACAATTACGTATAGCTATACCATCTCCTCAATTTTCAAACTCAGCATCAAACTCCATAATAATTGGTGACATGGTGCAAAAAGGTTATATGTCATTTTATGCTTTATGTTGAACGCTATAAATCACATATTAAATCTGTATGAAAAGCCAATTTAACTGTTGTGATAGCAGGATTTTGTAAATACAACAGTTAAAAGTGCTGCATTTTAACTATTTGTTCAAACATTAAAAACATGGCATGCCAATGTCAAATTACATCTGTGTTTGGAAGAAATTAAGAACCAACAACAAATGAAGGTCTCATATTGTATTGACATAATTACAATATAATATTTAAAATTAGATGAAATAGTATAATACAACAGTTACTATGAAAATACAAAAGCATGATTCAAAGGTACATTTTGGAACACACAATAGAAATGTCAATGACAATTCTAATGTACAAGATGAGTTTTGGTATAAGCATTGTCTTTTTCTCAAAACTAAATAGGCTAATGAGTGAACACAGATTATTTGAAACACTTACTTATGCCAAATGTAAACACTCGATTACATGCCCCGTACACTTCGTTTCGTCCACCAAAGATATATATTTTACGACCAACAATTGAAGCTGTGTGACCGTATCTCATGAACGGCGTAGAATCATAATCGTCGCTTTCTACATTCGACACCTTCATCCATTTTAGCTTATCTGGATGTAATGTAAAGTAGAAAGATAAAAAATTTTTAAGACCATCCACACGTGGTGAATAGCAACATTACATAAAGGAACGAAAAGACATACGCAAATCGAACATGTGAACATCCATTTTTAAGATCCTTGTGTAGTCTTCGCCAGAGCAAAAGCCTCCGAAAGTGAAGACATACCGATCATTTACGGCTACTGCAGCATGGTTGACACGACGTGGACCATCTCTACAAACAACCGTCCACCTCATATCGTTATAATGTATGAGTATTCATTGCATTCGTGTGTTTGAAGGAATGAAAGCTGCATCATCGTTCATTTCGAAACCATAAACATGGAGAGGGACACTGGTAGCGAAGATTTGTATGCTAATTAGCACCAATGTCGCAATTCATGTAAATTTACTAAATTAAAGATTTTCTGGAGTCACGATGGACTGTATTAAATTAAATGGGTCAGTTTAATGTAGTTCTGTGGCTAAAGTAAGGTCAATAAACCTAAACATTTTCATTTTCATTAAGATAGTAGCGAGAGACTTGCCGAGCGGAAATCGAATTCGTGTGATAAAAATTAATGCCCAACATAAAGTTCTGATTAGAGCCATAGAAATAGACCAAAAAAAGACAAATTGTAAAATTAAATTTATTGTAACGTTTCGTCTTTACTCAAGACATCTTCAGACAAATACTAAATAGGATGTTAAGACAAGATATTATATTTACAAAAAGGTGTTAAATTACTACTAAAAGAAGCGGTGTCGAATGGATATATGATTAGGAAGTTAGAAGGCTTTCATGAATGGAGAGTTCATATGTATCGTTGGAAGAGGAGATTATTTTAAAGTCGTCTAAGTTGGGGGTGTGTCCAGTTGCGTTAATGTGAGCAAGAATGTGAGTTAATGTGGGTCAAACCACACGTCATCTACACACCAGATTTTCGGAGCACTTGGGAATATCCCCCCTTACAGGCAACCAAGTTTCCCACCCTGCATCATCAAGCATTCTTGCTCACATTAACGCAACTGGACACACCCCCAACTTAGACGACTTTAAAATAATCTCCTCTTCCAACGATACATATGAACTCTCCATTCATGAAAGCCTTCTAATCAATAAATACAAACCTTCACTTAATGTGCAAGGAAACTCCATTCCACTTAACCTCTTTTAATTTCTCTTTATTTTACTTACTAACTTCCTAATCATATATCCATTCGACACCGCTTCCTTTAGTAGTAATTTAACACCTTTTTGTAAATATAATATCTTGTCTTAACATCCTATTTAGTATTTGTCTGAAGATGTCTTGAGTAAAGACGAAACGTTACAATAAATTTAATTTTACAATTTGTCTTTTTTTGGTCTATTTCTATGGCTCTAATCAGAACTTTATGTTGGGCATTAATTTTTATCACACGAATTCATTTTCATTAAGGTTTTACACACGATACGTTGTTTGGTAGTATCGCTACTCATTTATAATTCGTTCGGAGGAAATCCATTTCTGGAGGAGTGTATATGAGGAGGTTAGAGGCTAAGCATTACAAATTTCCGAATAAGTGAAAGGGGGAGGGTAAGCCATGTAAAATATATGTTCTACAAACTTTTGATTTTCAAAAAAGAATGAGTCTGCTGCAAGTTAATCAAAAATCACAAATTTGTGGCTGTGACTTGCGAGTGTGCATTCAGCTATACTTAAAAAAATTACGACAGCACATAGAATAAAATTTGTTCTTTGGAAATTCGTATCTAATGGCATTTTGCCGCAGAGTTAAAGGCGGTTAATGAAAACAAAAAACGTCAGCGCTATATGCATGTAACTTGTTTTAAAAATTTAATAGTGATGCTTCGTGAAATGCTGTTAAAATCTTTCAGCGTCACAAAAACATTTGAAACTTTCGTTAATCTATTTTCCACGTGATATTGCAAATTGCGTCTTATGAATATATCGTTCACGGGAGTTTGAAGTTTGAACTGTTTAATCTTGGAATACTTGAATGCTTTTTGTGAAAATACAATCAATTAATTTCATTTTTAAGCATGATTTCGAATGCCCAACTTCAAATTTTGCGCACGCGCAGTATACTTTGCTAATCGGTATGAATTTCAAAATGAAAAACAGAAACAGAAACCATGATAAAGTATTTTGTTGCACATAAAGGCTTACACTATAAAGAACAGTTCATTTTAATTTATTCAGCATTGAAATATTAACATAATCCAAAGGTTCTTATAACAAAAATTCATTGTCACATTTAATAATCTTCATTGTTGACAGTGTCAGTAAAGCTGCATTCTTTTAAAAGTCAGTTAAAAAGGAGCTTTCTCTTGTCAACTTCTGCTTTCATAGCTTCCTGTGTATCGAAGTCATCGCTTCCTATAAACCCTTACTTTGTATGCATTATTTTCTTGTGAATGGGATCTTTTTTCAACTGATTTATCCACATAACACGTTGCTTAGAAATGCTTTCCAGTTCTTTCTATAATTTGGAAGAATGTTAGAATATGCTTCATCGCTCCATGCTCATCTAGAAACCTGTTGAAAAGGCTTTCTATCATTTTATCAAAATCTACATTACGTCTTTCTCTTGCCTCTTCTATCACTGGTATCCATGGATCAGTTTTCTCTTCAGCCTTAACATCTCTTTTTGTTTACATCAAACTATCAGATTCATCAGTGGAACTTGTCGAAGCAATGTCTTCAGTGTGTATCTCCTGACTCTTTGCGTCTGATTGAGACCTTTTTCCCTGATCCCAGTGTATACAGCACTCTTTCTCGTGACGGCGTAAATTAGACCTTCCATTAAATATTTTTATAAAATCTACACAGCAATTGGATTACCATTAACCACAAGTTTACCATCTTTTGCTTCAACTGTTCCCTTGAATCTACCATGTGTTGAATCAAACTTGAACATGTACATGTAATATTTGTAGCTTATTCCTTCAGGAATAACTTTTTAAAAATGTGATGTTTTCAGGTATTAATAAGCATTTATGTTCATTTAAGCAAGTGCTCATATGCTCATAAGACCAATGAAGGTGCAGTCTCAATTGATGCTATTGCCATTATGTATATCTGTTTGTAAATGAACGCGTTCGTGTGAGTTATTTTATATGAGTATTTGAGCATGTGTTTATGTGCAGTTATAAGTGGTTTTGAGCCAGAGCTCATCTGCTCGCAAAATCAATGAAAGTGAAGTCTTAACTGATGCTATTGCCATTATGTATATCTTTATTTAAATAAACGTGTTTGTGTTAGTCATGTGACATGAGCATGCAACAGTACACATGCAACTGAAAGCAAAGTAAAATAGCAAGAAAATTTTATATTTTACAAAGCAATTACACAGTTGATTTATACTTTAGTTTACAGCTACTGTCAACAAAATCAAATAGATGCTGAAAAAAAGAGATCTTTTCGTCTCTGTATAAATTAACATCAGCTGTTCCCAAGTTGCATTTAACATATTTTCAAAGTACTTCTTCTGGGATTGAAAAGGTCCAAGCTACTTTAGAAATTTATAGGCTTTAGATATACCATGCCACATATGTTCTCGATTGTTAACATTCAGTGCACGATCAGCAAAAAGGAACCATCGTTCTTCCTCAGTCAATATTTCTAAACAGTTTTCATAATCTGCCCAAGGTTCATGTTGAATTCTATCGTTTTTAGATCTTCGTAACTCTTGAATGTTTTTACTGAGAAATTCCACCACAAATAAGATCACTGTGATCAATATTTTCTACTTTTAAGGTGTCTGCATGCATTTGATCAAACAGGTGTGCCATATTCATTTTTTATTTTCAATATCCAATCAATAAGCAAAAAAAACAACAGCAACAGTCAAAGTAATCAGCATATTCGAAAAAGACCTTTAACTATATACTCGTTCAACTACTAAATATGCACTGAGTGCTTTCTGGTGTTTTATTGGATGAAGTAAAAAAATTACATTTTCACATATTATCAAGAACATCCGGTTTTAATTTGTAGCTAATACATTCTAGGGACCCTTTGATCGTTTAAGTAATAAAAATTAATGATACGATTTGCAATGTTCTTGTAATTTTCAAAATTCAAACTTTACAATTCTGTATCATTGCGACAAAAAATGACAAATAAAATTCAATTTGCGATTTAAATGTTTCATCCGTATCAAGATGCATTTGTTCATGATCTTGCAGGTAGTCTATTATCAATGTTATAACTTTACACCAAGAAAATGATCGTATAACTAAGTCAATTTACAGAAGAACATGCAAGAAGTAACACTGTATGTATGTTAATATGCTAATGTCAAACTGGGAACAATTGGACGAGCAGTTTTCCAAAGTTCGTTTTACAAAAATTTTCATGCTTAAGGCAAGTGGTAGCAAAGCAATTGCTCATTTAAATTATTGATCTTTACATGTATATGTTGCAGTTGATATGAAAGTTAGAACTCAGGCAATAACCAATTAAATCATGTTAACTGGAGCTTAAGGATGTTTTCTGTATTTTGCTCAATTTGTTGCCAACCAACAAATAATCAACACATCCATTAACACCAACAAGTATATTCTGTCATATATGTAGCTGACAGTCTCCCAGTGTTTGTGTGTGAGTATATTATTTGATTTCGTCTGGATTCATGTTACTCAGTTGTTTCCAGCAAGGAATAACTTTTATACACTTACAAACTTGAATTGTACAATCCATGTTGCGGTCACTATTCATGGCATTAGCATTCTATTTACATCATTATACATACAGTGTTTATGGGCATGGAATTGAGTAGTTGTATAGGACTGATTACACATTACATTAGATAAAGGATAATGGGACCTATTGGAGTCCATGTCTTTCGCAAACTGTAATGTTTGTTCCTAAAAATATTAAAATGCACTGCAATATATTAAGTGTCACGCGCTCGGAAAGCCGACAGCAACCTCGAGCGAGTATAAGTATATACGTCCTCGCAAATTTATCATTAAATTCATTGCTACTTTGAATGAAAACCGTTTTTATTAGATAAATACTCTATCCTTATATTTGTCGTCCAAACGCTTTGTGAAGAGTGAAGTCGTCGTTCATGGATAAATCGAACAAAATTTTCTTCTGCAAATAAACAGAGTGATGATGAAATGAGTTTAACATGTCAAAGCAAAATTTTCCTGTTAGTTCATTAGTTGAGTTGTCCTGGTAAAATTTATAATTCGTCTAAAACTCTTGTGGACGTTGTGGTCCAGTAGCTATGAAGCCGAAATGTTTATAGTTGTATAATTATGATATGTGTGTGTCGGTCTATTCCAAGGTCATTTTGTGGTTATCAAATTGATATATACTCTTCCA